CTGATCATAAGTGGCCTTTGTACTGAAAGTAGTTTTGAAAGAGTCCGATTTCCATTTCCACAGAACCACATCTGCTTCGTCCCGTACATATCGAGCTTTAATAGCGTCAATTTCATCCTCCATTCTATTTAGTATCTCACGTCTATGCCTTCGTCGCCTATGCCGCAAAATAACATCCTCCACCGTCATCTCAATATTGATACCCAACTCTAAGCAACCCCTTGCCCCTATAGCCGGCAAAAGCGAGCCCATCGGAGACCAATTCTCAAGCCAGAATAGTGTTGAACGGCCATTCTTCACTTCCACTTTAAGGAATTGCTCTGCCAGATTCCGATACTGTAACAGCTGCCTCCACACCCACGACCCTTGAGACTGATGCGAGGGCAACCAAATTGAGTTTCCTCTCATACGTACCGTATGGAGCCACCGAACCCAAAGCGAGTTCTTTGCAGTTAAAACACGCCATAAGAGCTTCAGCACACAGACATCGTTTGCTTCTCTCAAACTTTTAAGCCCCAACCCTCCTTCGACCTTGGGGCGGCACACCTTACTCCATTCCACCTTTGCCTTTCTTGTGTTAAGGTCTGGTCCAGACCATAAAAAAGAGGAACAAATACTCTCTATTGTATCGATACAACCCCTCGGCAGACGAAAAGCCGCCATCCAAAAGTTGACTAAACTGGTAATGACCGATGAGAGAAGTTGAAGACGACCCGCAAAAGTAAGAGTTCTCGCCGTCCAGGAGCTTAATTTTTCACGAATTTTGTCGGTAAGAGTTGAGTAATCCAATAATCGCATTTGCTTGGTGAGCAAAGGCAGTCCTAAATACCGAACCGGAAGTGAGCCGTGTTCAAACGGAAACTGCTGAACTATCGTTGCGCGAGTGGACTCAGGAACACCTGCAAGATAGGCCGTGGATTTTTCCAAACTTATTTGCAGCCCAGACAACTTGGAGAATTCATCGAAAATCCCAATTATCCCCTCCATTGATCGCAGTGTACCGTCTGAAAAAATCATCAAGTCGTCTGCAAAACAAAGATGTGTAAGCTTCATATTCCTGCAAGTTGGATGGAATCCGAACTTCCCCTGCATCACAGCTTTGTCCAGCATTTGAGAGAGGACATTCATGCAAATTACAAATAAATACGGAGAGAGCAAACAGCCTTGACGCAAACCCCTTGAGCTTCCAAAATAACCCGCCAGTTCTCCATTTAACTGAACCGAGAAAGAAGGAGTAGTTACGCATAACCGTATCCAGTGAACAAACTCCATGGGCAAGTTTAAAGATTCCAAAACCGTTAGCAAGAACTCCCAATCCACTGAATCAAAAGCTTTAGAGATATCTATTTTGAGGGCGCATCTAGACGAAATATTTGGTTTGTGGTACCCCTCCACCAATTCCGAAGCAAGAAGCAGGTTTTCGATCAAGAGCCTATCCTCAACAAAGGCAGACTGGTTTGGGGAAATAAACTTGGGGAGTATTTTCTTCAACCTATTCGCCAAGATCTTGGATATAAGCTTGTAAATCACATTACAACACGCAATGGGCCTGTAATCTTTCATCGTCTTTGCCTGCTCCTTTTTCGGTATTAATGCAAGAATAGTTGAATTAATACCTTTAGGCAGGAATCCCTTAAGAAAAAAGGATTGAATGCTAACCACCAGATCATGTCCCAAGACCGACCAGGATTCCTTGAAAAATTCCACAGTAAACCCATCTGGCCCAGGTGATTTATTCGTCGCCATAGCAAACAAAACCCTTCTAATCTCCTCCCCTGTAACCTCTGCAGTTAGAAGAGTCCTTTCTTCCTGAGAACATCGATACTCCAACAAAGCTCCCATCTCTTCTCTAGACGTAGCACGAATGTTTTGAGGTTTGTAATTCAAAAAGGTCTGAAAATGATCAACTGCCGCCTGTTTGATATCGCAACTACGTACAAGGGTTTCACCCGCCTGAGTTTGCAACTCTCTAATCCCATTCCTGACCTCCCTTACTTTAACCGCTCGATGGAAAACCTTGTTGTTCCTGTCCCCCACGTTCAGCCAGTTTAACTTTGCTTTTTGGGAAAGATAATTTTCCTCCATATTCGCCACCCATTCCCATTTCGTATAAGCCTCATTCTCCTCTGCCTGCGCTGCTTCCGATGGATATATCAAGTTGTGCTCCTGCTTCTCACAAAGCTCATCATATGCCTGCGTTACTCTCTTCGATATGTCATGAAGAGAATCCCTTGATATCTGTCGTACTATAGGTTTTAAATTCTTCAACTTCTTTGAGAACCGATAGAGCGCAGAGGTAGAATGAAACAGGGGAATAGTCGCATTCCAATACTCGCCCATTGCTGTGTGAAACTGAGGCAGTTTAGCAATTACGTTTGAGAATTTGAACGGCTTTCTGGGCCTAGTAGTCTCGTTTGAAACATAAAACCTGCACCTCTGATGATCAGAACAACCCCCCCCTTCATATACGCAATACGATTGCGGCCTACTACTGAGCCAACGATCGTTCATCAAAAGGCGATCAAGCTTTTTGCAAACCTGCCCCTGCATCCTTTTGTTCGTCCAAGTGAATAGTGGCCCATGATAGCCCATATCCAGGAGCTCACCATCACGAACAATCGCCTGAAAATCCTGCATTCCCCCCGTCAAAACCGAATCCTCACCCGAGTGCTCCTCTGTAGACAACGTCTCATTGAAATCACCCATCACTAACCAACTTATATTTCTGTAAATTGGAGAAGTGAAATGACTTCGAAGATCAGCCCATAATTCTTTCCTATCTTCGGAAAAATTAGAACCATACACGAAAGAGCACAAGAACTCCTCATCAATTCCATGCTGTTTCACCAACACTGATACTAATTGTCTACTTTTAAAAACTGGAGTAATACGAACCATGTCACTCCAAACAACCCAAATCCGTCCTAGCCGATGATGATCATAGTTATGTAAGAATGACCATCCTGGAAATACTGCTGAAACTACCTCCGCCGCCTTACTTTCCTGCATCCGAGTCTCAAGAATTGCACCAAACAAAAAATCATATTCCCTACACCACTTCCTCACCACTTCCTGTTTCCGTTTTTTGTTAAATCCTCTAATGTTCCAGAAAAACCCAGACATTAGTGTTTGTTTCGACAAGACTTGTTTTTGTTTTTCTTGTTCTTGCTCGAACTTGATGATGGAGAGGAGCTAGGAACAGTACTAACATAACGGTGTGAAGATTTCGATTCCCGAGGTAAAGGAGCTCTGCTACCCACACTCTGCTTTGGCTTCTCTTCTCCTTTACCCTGTTTAGACTCTACCTCTGCTGGTAGATTTTTGTTATGAACGTGAGCCTCTACCTCCTCAACATCTCCTTCCTCAACATCAGTCTCCTGATCTGCGATGGAAGCATAGCGAGAGCCAGAGCTCTGAATTTCCTCTCCTTCCTCAACTGCATTTACCTCCGTCTTTTTAGATCTAACCGGGGATTTAACCACTTGCCAAACTTCCGGAGAGTGCGAGCGACTTCCCATCTCCTCGACCCCCGCTTTACTAGCTTGCGGCGTTTCCTCAGCTTTCTCCTCTGACTGTATCAATAAATCCTTCTTCGGGGTACTCTGACTCGAGGAACCCACATTCTCCCTCACCTCTCTGTTTTTTGCTTGCCCTGAATTCACTGGAGAAAGAATAGACTTCTCTCTTTGCAAAATCACTTTATCTCCAGGCTTCGCCTTACACTCCGATATAGCATGACCCCATTTCCCACATGAGACACATCTTGGTGGCAACCAAGGAAACTCATAATGAACAACTGTGTCAAGCCCCGTACTTGACTTGAAAGAAAAGCACTCTGGCAATGCCTGTTTCAAGTTTACCTCCACAAAAACTCTGGCTTCCTCAAAATCTTTGGCCCAGAGAGTATCCGGATGGAGTTTCTTCGGCTCACCCAGAGGGCTTGTGAGGAAGCTCAATCCCTTCCAAGTAAACATACTTTGCGGGACATTTCGCAAAACAACCCACATCGGAAGCACCGTGATCTCCGGCTGTGCCTCCTCTACAATTGGACTCCACTTAGAAACAATCATCGGAATATTTTTAATACTCCACATGCCTCGCCTCAAAACTCTTTTCCTGATAGCAGCGTCCGGAATCTTAAATTTCACCGTTGTTTCATCAACAACAAACACTTCTACTTTGACCGATGAATCCCCCAACGGCCAAATCTTGTTTACCGTCATATGAATCAAACCCACATGCGGTGCCTTTGACACAAACTTCCCCACAATACAGTCATCCCAAAGCGGAGGTGCGTTCTCAAACACACAATCCGGGACCCTGATAGTTTTCACCCCTTCAATCTCCTCGACCTCAAACTCATATCGCTGCAAGCGATCTTTCTCAGCAACAACTGAAGAGTATGACCTCCCTGCCTTCGCTGTATCATTCACCACCGTCTCGACTTTTGCTTCTTTGCTTTGATCACTTTCATCTCCCACTGCCTCCAAACCTTTCTCTTGCACTTCTTCATCGGTTTGAACCTTCTTCGACTTACCCAGCTCCTCTGAAACACTCCGAGCCTCCTCCGATGCACTCCTAACCTCCCCTCCCGACTGCACTCCTTCCTCCAGAAGCGGAACCGACTGGTCCGGCGCCGCCATGACGCCTGAGCCCTTTCTTGGGCTGGAATCCACAAAACCCTAGATCGCCTTGTGTGTCCCTTCGGGGACATCCGATAAAATTGGAACAATTTAGTTAATTTGATTAAAGAGAAGAGAATTACAACTATGTTTTCACGTAGTCACACTAATATTAACTTGTGTTTCTCATTCGTAGTTTTTCATAATTATAACATGGCTTTGAGGTGAGACTTGGCTCAGTGATCAACACGGATTTTTCAAAACCGGTTCCGGAAGAGAGAACCGACTCAGATATCAACATGGATTTCTCAAAAACCGGATTTGGAAATGAGAACCGAGTCAGATAGCAACATGGGTTTAATCTGATTTTGATCCCAATTTAGTTAATTTGATTAAAGAGAAGAGAATTACAACTATGTTTTCACGTAGTCACACTAATATTAACTTGTGTTTCTTATTCGTAGTTTTTCAAGGGACATTTTTTCATAATTACAAACAAAAATCTGATTAGTGTAAGAGATAATTACTCTTAGTGTTCTCTGATTTCCATTGTGTATTAACTTTACGAATGAATTCTTCAACTCGTCTTCGAAGCACACACTCGACTTCGCTCTCATTCTCTACCTCCAAGCTCTCTGTTTTCTTCATTCTCCCTTTCTCGTCCTTCTCTGAAAAATCTGAACCGGATTTCAACCTAGAAGACATTATCTGCAAACCGAGTTTGGACGTCAACGATCGTTCAGAACCGGGCGGTTTGGAGGGGATAAACGATTTAGATATCAACACAGGTTCTTGTAAACAGGGCTTTGAGGTAAGACTAGGCTCAGTGATCAACACGGATTTCTCAAAACCGGGTTTGGAAGAGAGAACCGTCTCAGATATCAACATGGATTTCTCAAAACCGGATTTGGAGATGAGAACCGAGTCAGATGTCAACATGGGTTTCAACGAACCGGTATTTGGTTTGTCTTGGGAACCCGGTTTAGAGTTTCCCAAGAGGATTAAGATGATGATGAAGTTACAGAAGAGGAACATGAATGAAGAATTTGATGCTGTTTTGTTGACGAACTCCAAAACAGAATCTATCACCATCTTGAGAAACAGAGAGTAGAGAGAGAGAGAGAGAGTAGAGAGAGAGGAGAAAGGTTGTTTGTGAGAAAGAGACGGCTTTTGAGAGACCTTTAAATTGAAGAAGAGACTTCTTAGACAAGTAGATGTTGACAATGACTGCTGAATAAAGTAGTTGGGATTATAGTTGTTTAATGATAATCTAAACAAGTCATTATTAATAATTTGATTTACTGTATCAAAGAAGAAACTCCTTGCCAGCTAAGTTGTAATAAGTCATCTTAACACCTAAGTCTCCTTTAAGACACATGGGTCTTTGTTAATTTAAATATCGTTATCGGAAAAAATGTAAAACAAATCATCCAACTTTCAAATTCTGGGCCAACAAAATTTGATAAGAAAAATCAGTTTTTAATGCACTGTATTATTTTGAAAAAAATTAAGTTACTGCCCAGTGCCCAGACAACAACTAATAGTAGTACTATTTAAGAATTTATATAATTGTCTATATTTTTTTTTGGTCTTATAGAAATAGAACAATCAGTTCTCATCCGCAAACAAAAAGAATAAAAGACTGATGGACTTACTTTTGCAACTTTGAATTCCTTGAGTAATCTTTAAAATTATATCAATATGATCGAAGATGTTTTAAAATTTTGTTTCTAAAAGAAAAATATGGGATCGTTGCAATAAAACCGATTCTTTGCAACAAAAAATATCTTAAGAATTATTTTAGCATAATGGAATCTGAAAAATGATGACCTTTGCGATAAAAAGAGATTTGTGCAAACTTAATCATTACAAAAAATATAATTGTATAAATATTATATTTATTCTTGATATTTTTTAAGATTGTTATGGTTTCGTTATCCTTACTTTTTTTGTTAAAGGATTTCGTTATCCTTACACGAATTTCCGGGGAAGAAAACATTTTTACACAGATAATCATCGATGTACATATTTCGTAGCTGTGTGTCTGTTCTTAGTAAGTGTTATTTATTTATTTAATTATATTTAGGAATTTATTTACGTCAACATAAATTATATTTTCCGAGATATATATTATTAATAAGAGACAATTTGCTATATAGACTAAGACCTGGTCAAAATTTGCCAATAAGGAAAAACGGTGTTTCAGGTGAAAATTTTGAATTCCAAATTGTGGCAGATTACGAAAAGAACCCTGAAGCTAACTTTTTCTGTTTTGCTAATTGTATTTTTGATTTAATTTAAATAACGAAAGAAAAGATAATATCGACATCTATAGGTTCCTGTAGATAGCGTAGGTTTGCTTGTAGGCATTTGAGAACCACAAAATATAACAGTTCTGGAATTTCTCTCTCATCAATCTTCTTTTTTTAACATATAAGTTATACAATTATATAACTTCTTATCAAACTACATACTTTGTTAGCATAGTAAGTTTCTGTATTCTTGAAACAAAAATAATTTTTGTATTCTTTGACACCTCTGAGTTGCTATATTTGATTTGATTATTGATTATATCAGAACTCATTAACATATACATTATACAGTTATATTAAACGTTATCAGTCTAAATAATTTTATTCATGTGTATACATCTACTTAATATATAAATTATACAATTACATAATTTTTTTTATCAAACTACATACTTTGTTAGCATGATAAGTTTCTGCATTCTTTAAAAAAAAAAATTGCTGCATTCTTTGACACTTGTTTATTTGGTTTGATAATTGAATATATCAGACCTTTGTTAACATATACGTTATAGAGATACATGAAACGGTAGCAGTATAAATAATTCTTTAGCGCTGTTTTTATCTGATATACGTTAACATATAAGTTATACAATTACTTAACATATTATAAAGCTATATAATTTGTTAGCGTGCTTAATTTCAGTTGCTATAATTGGCTTATCGAGTATTAATTTAAATTTATATGTGTAATAATATAGTTAACATGTTAAGTGGAATATTAGAGATATATCAAAACATTTATATGGTATAGTAAATGAATTGTAATCATCTGTAAAATATATTAGCAATCTAACACTCAATTTAGAAACCTAATTCTAAATTCAAAAATAATTTAGAGTGAGTGCAACTTTTGGATTCAAAGATAACCTGCTATATATTATCCAACTATATATTATTTTGATATATTAAAACATTTGTTAGATGGTATAAACATTTGTTGATTGTTAACTTTCAAATTAACATTTTTCCAACTTAACTCATCGAGATCTCCGTCTTCAACAATCTCTCTCTCAATCTCAGATCCATAATTTTAGAGAAGAAACAAATTTTTTAATTTACATCAGCAGATACTTTCAGAGAGGAGACGAAACTAAAATAACTTTGATTTAAATAAGATAAACAAGTTTGATTAGTTCTCTCGAAAAAGTTGAAACCAAACCAGAGAAATTGATCAGTATGGTTTCTGGGTCGCCAAAACTGCTGGAAAACGACGGTTGCTCCATAGTCGTTAGAAGCTTCCCCAATTGTGAGTCTCGTAATCTTTTCGCTTCTTCATGATCAAACGCATTAAGGATGGCCTTCACGACTTTCAATTTCTGGTAAGAGTTAACCTTCTCACCTACTGGTTCATGACCGGCGGCGAAAATCCTTCCGGGAAAATTAAAATTGGCAATGTGTTTGGGTTGAACTGACAAGAAAAACAATAAATCAGAACGGATGTACTGAGAATCAAGAAATTACAGTTGAAAGTAAGAATATTTGCAACAAAAAAATCACAAATTTTACCGAAGATGGAAGATGGATAGTGGGAGCGTGGTGTAAATGGCTTGAGGAAAGGACAAAAACTGTCTATGGACTTTTGTAGTTTTGAAATCGAGTCTAACAAGAAGTTTACCCAAAATATTATATTCGAACCAGATTTATTCGAAACTGTAACAAAATATCGGTGATATTAACAAAGAAAAAAGCAATAAATATCGTATTTTAAAATATAAATAAATATAGTATTATCTTCTCATTCAATAAAATTATTAAATCTGACACACAATCTCAAAATGCAGATGCATGATCTTAGTTATAGGTTCGATAGTATAGGGGTAATATTGTATTAAAAGAAATAGCACAGTGTCGAAATAGTGGACTTTCCTTCTTAGCAAATTATGATCAGTCCCAAGTATATACGACACATTTTCTTTATTAATAATTGGGACCTTTTAAGTGTACAAAAGGAATGGTTTACATGATCCTGGTTCAGTGGTTCGTATACGGTATACCGTATTGTTGGATCTTAGTGTCGAGCACTCCAGCTAAACCCGGTTGGTGAGATTCGACAGTGACTTCTTTAACCTGGTCGGCTAGTTTCTTCGTGCGCTTCTATGACCCGGATAACATGGTTAGGTGGTTTCTGTATATAAGAAAATTAATGTTTAATTATAAAGGTTACTCGTTTTGACCAGTCCACAGGCAAATACAATTAGGGGACAAATCTTTTGATACAAAACATTGGCATATCTATTTCCAACTCATCTTTTTGTATTTCTCACTCTTATTATTTCACTCCAAACTAAAATCTTTGTACTCATTTACTCGTTTATTTCAATCCAGACTGGATGTATTTCGTTCTAAATTAACTATCCATTTATTCATATTTTCTCTCCATTTTCTGTCTAGCACTTGATCAATTGTTGTCATCCAAAAATGAAACATATCCTTGTAAAACAAAAATATTTGATTGTTGATCCTTTTAAATCAACAATATTTTGTAGTTAATTACCAAATGACTCGTCCATATCTAATACAGCATGTTCTTTTTGTGGTGTGATCAATTCTGCTTCTAGATTTCTTTATAACAAAAATATATGATCTATTGTTTCCGTCTTGTTTTATAAGCTGTTTTAGCTAAAAACATAAAAATTAATTATTAATTATTATATATCCATAATACTAATGCCCACTTGATGATCTAGGTCAACCTATTTCCATACTTGCTTCAAGTTATTTTAATACTACATTTGAATTAATTATCATCAACTTAGAGTTTTTAGAAGAAAAAAAATTCCAAATATATATAAAATTCTAGCGGAAAACATATATAAAATTAATGCTATTGTGGATCTTTATCTTATCCCGATCTAATACAAGTTTTAGAGCTTTTTTTTTGAATAAATGTTAAATTTATTCTAAACAAAAAAACGTTTTTAAATCGAAATGTTTACGAGTTTAAGAAAACACAATCTAAAAAAACTTCCAATTCGAAATTTCAGTGTGGACTGAAAGCTAGCCAGAGTTGGTAGCCCTCTTCATAAGTCCGATCTCCAAACAAGCGAATGGAGTTGAACCTGTTCTTCATACCTTGTCTATCCTCCTTATTAGGTGCTGTGGAGCTGAGTGTTGCTCGCCATGACGTTTGCCATTTCTCTCACCCCAAATGTAGTATATAGTAATTTGGAACAGGTTTCTAACCGTGAACCCTCTTAGACGACCCTGATTCTGGTGAATTAGGAGTGTCAATAAATCCTCCCAGCTGCAAGTAAAATCATTCCCATGAATTCTTCTTGCTAGAGCAGTCAAAATCTGAGAAGTGTATGGACAGTCAAAGAATAGATAATCCCTGCATTCTATTGGCCGGATGAAGGCAGAACACGCATGAGGTATAGAGATGAGTACTCCATGTTAACATTCGGTCTCCAGTTGGAAGCCGGTTTAGAATTGTAATCCACTTGTGAAAACCAAATTTAGGGGTGTTATGAGTAAACCACACCACCTTACGCCATGGTGCAAGAGGATGTGGTTGCCGTAACAGTCAGTGGCGGAGGCAGAAATTTTTTTTATTGGGGGCATATATGGGACATGTATAATTTTATTAGTGGGGGCATTATTAGTTTGATTTATAAGTTACACCAGTTTTAATAATTTACTGGGGGCATATGACCCCAACATATTCTATGTGGCTCCGCTACTGGTAACAGTTCCCAGGTCTGTTTCGTACTGAACCGATGCTTATACTCGTCAAACTTGTACCTCCAGAGTACGATGTCGTCCTCATCAGGCTTGTAATGATTACGGGCTGCAACAATCTCGTCCTCGATTCT